CCTCAGCGCGTCGAACGCTCAGATCGTTCAAATCATTCAAATCGCGCTGCTCTAATCGCGCTTGAGGCGCTGCAGCCCTTCCTGACGTTGATTGAAGCGCCTCCACCATAGACTTTGTATGTAAACCTGCTGCTCCTGATGCTGAAATCATGTTCGGTGTGAACGCACCATTACTTTAAGCTTCTCCTGGTGTGTTCTGGTCTAAAACACTTTTTGGTTTTAAGAAACTTAGCTAAGTTGTTTAGCGCCTCCATTTCTTGACATGTTGATGCTGTTCACATCGTATCTGTCAGTCTACACCAAACCACGCCCACATCCACTCACACTGGAGGCACGTTTTTGTACGTCCACCCTAAATGTCTGAATCCTGTGGCTTTGGGCTGATCCTGGGCTGAACAGAGTTAGCCCCAATGAGCCACAAACCGAGGGGGCGTGGCCAGACGCCTGTCAATCATTCTGAACCAGGACACACATTACATGAAAATGGGCTGTGAAAAGTTAGCCCTGCAGAACGACCCTGGGATCTTCACAGGTGGTTTGGCACCAGTTTTACTTGTAAATTTCACAAAATAAGATATATTATTTTTAAATTTTGTTTATTTTAAAGTTATTTATAAATTGTATATAATTATATTCTAATTTTATAATGTTTATTTTAACATTTTTATTGTGAACACCAGGGAGGGCTTAGCCCTACTAGCCCACTTATACCAGCCGTCACTGACTGTACTGCTTTAAATTAAAATAACAAGTAAATCTTTTTATTCAGATGTTTAAAATCATCATCTGAATGAAGTCAAATAGTCTCAGCTAAATCCAAATATTAAAAATATTGTTTTTGTTTATAAAATGTGTTTATAAATAAGAAAAAAAACAATAAAATATTTTACAACGTATTTATGTTTCATTTATTTTAAACTTTTAAAGTTAAAATGCTGTTTGTTCTCCTGTCGCTGTTTACGTTGTCAATAAAGTTTTTCGGTGCGGTGACGTCATCACGCAGCTGCGTCCGGCTGAGCGGCGGGAGGAAGTCGGTTTGTTTTTGACGTAAAGCGATGATTTTTACATGAAATGAACAAAGTCAGGTAAGTTTCTGCTGGAAAATATTGTTTGTTGTTGATTCTTTGTTTCTCTGCGACCGAACAGATTATTTTAAGAGATTATTTCTGGATTAAAATGAGCTTAACTTCTTTAGAGATTTAAAAACAAACCTTCATGATTTCAAGTCTTTAAACTAAAACTGGAATAAACTTRCAGAACTGTCATTAAATAAACTTTTGTTTTTTTAGATTTTATTTAGTTAAGTTAAAGTGTAGAAATCAGTTTACAGAATAAAACAAACTTTGTATTTCAGTAAAATAAAGTACTTTTATTCTTATTCCCAGCAGTAAAACTAAAGTTTAAATCAAGTTTCAGATGTCAGAGTTTGATAGAAAATATATTTTTGCTCCAACAAGCTAAAAACTGGATCTTCAGTGGATCAGATGAAGGATCTCTCAGGTCCTGGTTCTGGTCTCTGGTGGATCGATTGGGTTTTCTGGATTATAATCCAGTGGAACCACCTGCATCCTCACCTGGTTTATGTGGTGCTCTGCCTACCTGCAGGTTCTGACCTCCAGAAACCATGGAGTCTGGGACATCAGGGTCTCAGAGGTCTGGGACATCAGGGTCTCAGGAGTCTGGGACATCAGGGTCTCAGGAGTCTGGGACATCAGGGTCTCAGGAGTCTGGGAC